TGCGAGCTTAACATTGTAGTCAGTCAAATCGATGCTTTTAGCAGCTGCGCATTAATTGGACGTATTTCTGCCAAACGGAACTATGTGCATTAAGACATGAGCCCTGAGACCCATAAGAATATGTGCATAGCAGGGCTCACGTCAAAATGCACATAGTTCCGTTTGATAGAAATACGTCCAATTTGTTCGATATTTTTTATTTTTTTTATGGGATTGCTTATAGTAAAATGCCTAACTAAAGGTTTGCGAATCGAAAATTTGCGATCTTTTAATCATATTGATGCTCTAATAGAAAAGGCAAAATTTCGTAGGGAACTTAAGAGAGGCATTTGAACACAAAGAGTCTGTCGTTGCCTCCGTTTGAAAAAAGTGTTCTCAGGTTTCAACAGTAGCGTGGCGTGCTTTGCGATGCGTCGATCGATCTGTCTATTAAACCTATTGAAAAAGATTGATCATTAGAAGCTTCGCAGCGAACACCTTAAAAATCGATTATTTATCATAAATTCTAATGGAAATCTAGAGAAACTCGATTTCACGCTTCGCCACTAGGTCCTGATCTGGTACTCGACTTAAAGGGCTGAGAGTAAAGTGTCATTCTGAGCTCAATTAAGGCTCAAAAAGCCTGCAGTATGAAAAAATTGAGAAAAAAGAAAGCGGGCGAAAATAAAAAAATAGTCGAATTTTTACCTGGATTTTTCAATGATAATTTTGAAGGAGCTTATGCTCAAAATATGTACATTTATGAAGAGGAGGAGTAACGTGATTAATGGTGGTTTTTTTTCTTTTTTAAGGAACGTTGTGAAGATTCTCACTGAAAGTACTGAAATTTGAAGATTTGTTTTTTCACTAGATGTGCGTGATAAAAATAATCGTAGTAATGACAAGAGGCAATTGGGTCCAAAATTGGAGTCCGGCGAAACTTCACAGCATAACTCTTCACTTTTTTCCCCTAAATTTGATTTTTTTTCGTTGTTGTTGCAAAGAAGTGAAAAAAAAAGTAATTTTAACGTGTGCCTATTTAAACCACAAGGCACGTAAAAAGAGTTCGGAGCAATAAAAGGACGTTCCTGTGGTGAACTCCGACACATCGTAAGTCAAACTTACAGCTCTTCACTTTTAAGGTCGTTGCATTAGTAACTCGGTGCAGATTACAACGTGGCCTCTAAACCTATATTTTATTAATTGAATCTCGATTATTTTTCCGATTTGTTTCTATTTTATGTCGTTTTGTATTCAGATAAAACCACTACCTACCTATATTTAACAGAGAATGTGAGGAAAATGAACAAAAGAAGTTGCAAACTTTACTTTCAAGTTTAAAAAATTACAACATTGTTTGTTTGCGAACTACCTCAGTTCCAAGACGCGGTGGCGAGACCTTCAAAGAGAGAAGATAAGGATATTTCCCTTTCATTGCAGCTGAAACCATCGTAATACTCTTTCTCTCATTTGTTTATTTTTTTCTTTTTTGTTTTACTTCCTGTATTGGCCCTTCATTCATTGCAAGGCGACGTTACAATATTTGTAAAATTCTGAGGTCCAGCGCGTTGCTATCCTTAAAGTTTTGCGCGGAAACGCTAAGTCGCTCACCAAATCATCTTACAATGCAGTAAACATATTTTTTCCTGGTAGAAATCGAAAGAAATTGATTCCTATATATTCACTACCGCAAAAAGTCGATTCACTTGTCGCCACCACTCATTTAAATGACTCTGAGAATCAGTGGCGTGGCGTGCTTTGCGATATATCGATTGATCTGCAATTAAAACTAGGGAAAGAATCGATAAGCAGGGTATTAGTAATGGGCACCTTAATAATCGATTCTTTACCATAGCTTCCAATAGAGAAATATCGATAATCGACCATTCGCACCACACGCCACTGCTGGGAATTAACGCGATTTGCGCTTTCCTTAAATGGCGAGCACCCAAACTTGGATCCATCTACGATCATGCTAATTTTTTACTGATCTCGCGAAGAGTTCAAAGACTGCGGGATAAAATGTAGGTAATGAGAGTGTAGATGTTATTTCCAAGGTTTGTGGGATTTACCACTCTGCTATCTCGAGTGCGTTATTCAAATTAAGAATCAGACATTTCGATTTGCTTTTGCTCTACACCTATTTTATCTTAGTCTTTTCCAATCTCTGCCGACTTTTTCCTCCTTCTTTTTCTTGCTTCACCTCTACACTCACAATAATCCAAATTGATTCAAATGAATCCAAGAATCCATATACACGTACAAACAACGTGCTTTCACGGAAAATGTTTGGCAGGACAAAATAACGAAAAATTTTTTGTGAAAAATAGCCCCATTGGTGTGATCTGTTTTACTCCGTGTTTGACCTGCGTTGATTTTGTCTGCAATACGAGCTTTGGCGATCCTCACGACGAAGATTCACCTTTTCATCTTTTCACCGATTTTTTTATACCCACAAGTTTAGTGCGACTGAACAATCGTCCAGAAGTTTGGTGTGTCAATCGGCTTTCTATAATTTAACGTTTTGAAAATTTCATTTATCGTAAGACTTCACTAGAATGTTACTTAAAATTTACCACTCAAGAAAAGTCAGTTATGAATTGAAAATGTTGCATAAAATTGTGTCTCTCTCCTTTCCTCTACATTTACTCTTCTTTTTCTCTCTCTTTTTTTTTGTTTAAAAAAAATATTACTGATGCAAACCCGCGTGAGAAACCGACACCTACAAGTTTTATCGAAATCTGAAATTTTCGAAGGGATTCCACATTTAACTTTTGACAGATTCCGTGGCGTATCTCAATTTGAGGCACGAGACTTGTTAGTTCGAATACTTATTAGATCGACATCAACCCAAATCGTCTTGCAACAAGTTTAAATACAAAGATCACTCTCGCACGAAAGATCGCTGGTCTGTGAACCACCTTAAACAACGGGGCGACGCGCTCAAGATCAAATCTTTTTTACTCTATAACTCAATGCCTCGATAAAAAACTTTCAAAGTTTGTATCAGTGGTAACTACGTGGGGGAAAACACAAGGGTCCGAGTAAAGATAGACACTCACGTCATCGTCAAAACAAGGAAAATGTCTTTAATTCATTTAAATATTTAAAAAATCATCACGTTCAATCAAATGGTCAAATCGATTTAGACTTTTTGTAGGCCTTCAGGAGTTTGCCATCTTGGGAACATGGACCAAACGACTCGCGACATTCTGGTAAATATTCCGGAGTATTTTGCGTCGGACAATTCAAATTCCAATTTTTTGACCTAATTTGTGGAGATCGTTTTCCTGAAGAATTTGCTTTCATGCTCTCGGGTACCTATTCTGCCGAGGTAAGAAAAAACGTCGCATGAACACTCGGAATTTGCCAAATTTCCCTGAATAGAACATGTATCTCTGAGGGAAATTTTGGGGAAATTGTATATATTTTTTCTGAAAATTTTCAGATATTTTAGATTCAATTGCGAACAAATTTTTTTTGAAAAATTTGATGATAAGTATTTACCATCGTCCCGGTACATTCGACTTTTACCGAAGGAAATGTCAGCTGCATCTGAGGTCTCATACGGCGTTCTTTCTTAGCACGGCAGTATACCCACGGACACTCTTAGTCATTGACTTAGCCGAGTGCAAATATATTTTTTACAGCTAATGACGTCTCTCATTTTTAATGCTCTCAAATTGTGCTGTGAGTCAGATGATGATTCTTTACATGCTTGTGATTATGAGATTGGATATGAAAAAAATAAAAAATCACAAAACGCGGGAAACACTCGCCGGTGCGGTCAAAGAAAATCGGATTGAATCAGTCAAGAGATAATGACATGTGCATTTCTCATGATGATGAGCAAAATTAATGCAAATTCGTCATTTTGCAAGCTGATTTACTTTGCTTACATCCGTGACGCCTCATGAAATATCAATCACAGGTCGCATAGAAGAGGAAGACCGGCTGTCGCTCTACACTATATTCACATGCTGTAGGAGAGAAACTTTTGTGTCAGTGATAAGTCCCCTCATGGGACGTTACATTCCTCCAGCAATGATGCTATACGTACTTCATTTAAACTAACACATGTCAACACTTGCATGCACAACTGTACAGCGTAATCACTTTCATCGAATGTGTGATTGAGAAAAGTCGGTGCGTGTTGATTACCTGGCTAGTTAGCTAGTTCATGAATACATGGAGAACTTGAATGGTGACCAAAGGTCAAAAAATATTCGAAAATCGCAAGGGCTTTTTGTGGGGAGGAAGGATAATATGCAGTTACGAGTGATGACCCCCCCCCCCTCTCAAACTTCAATTCTCATGATTTTGGGTAGCTAAAGTAAAAATTGACAGAGAAACTACAAGAGGACACGCATGCATTGCAGTGTTTCAAAATATCCTCTCATATTTTATTTTTTCGTGGAAATAATACTAGACTTCTATGTACAAAATTTTCAGCGGATATCCTTTAAAAAGCAAACTTTTCCACGAGATTGTGTGTAATCATGCATGTAATTGCGACGTCGCAGGCCTCCTGTCATATTTTATTTTCTCTTTGGAAAACCAGTCAACGTTATTTCTTGAAGACTATCTTGATTTTTTTCTCTGTCGGCAGAATTTTCTGTTTAAATTCAGTCACACTCTTTGCTTGTTTCTCTTCGAGAAAACAAAATAGATGCGGAAATTTTGAAATACCGCAATGGAGATACGTGGTTTCGCAATTTAGCCATCGACATACTTGGACCGATTTAAACAGAAACGCACCAAGTGTCATCGAGTTTGAACCGAGAAAAAGGGGTTCGGAGGTGTATTCCTGCATAGGAACTAATTTTAGGACAAATTTTACAGACTGCTTTTACGCTCAAAATATTTAATCTTAACTTCGAATCGTGGAAAGGAGAAAATTTACGATTAATTTTGTTCAAAATTGGATACTCTCAACTTATTTATTTCGATTTCCAAAAAGCAAGTTGATGTGTTTTTGCTCAATTCGGTCCATTCACATGTTAGTAGAGACGATAACTCACCTGCTCCGCCACAAATTTTCATATCCAAAAAGAAAACGCCAACCTTGGCATGCCGTCTCGACCGTGCAGAAACACTCCTTAGCTCCCCCACTCTACGTGTACAACAAATTTACAAAAACATACGTCGAATTAAATTTTACAATTTTCACGAACTAAGAGAAATTTTCCGAAAATGCGCGCGAAAGTACGTACACCGAACTATTCAAGCTTTAAAAGTGAAAACCCGTGCGGAGTACTGATTCACAGAGGCACTGATCCGCGGCGCGGGGCTGGTTCGATCGGTGGTGTAAACAAAACTGATCGGCCGACCAGGAGGAAACTTGGCCGGCCGGTCCGGTTTACGCCGCGACGCACAATGGATCGAGTCAATAGGAGCGGTCGGACCACATTTAGAAACTTTGAACGCTTATAACTCAGTTCATACAAAACTCAGAGGTTCTAAAAGTAGTTCCATAGGTTTCCTCGTAAAATTTTCTTCCATACGCACCCCTTAAAATTTAAAATGTGATGAAATAAACATCAAAATTTGCGGTTTTAGTCAATGATTTCATGTCCGACCCCTCTGATTGACTCGGTCCACTGTGCGACGCGGGCAATTGCCTCCTTCCTCCCGACTTCCCAAGCGCGCTGACCGACGCGACGCAACGCCGGTCACGCCGCCGCCGGCTGGGGAACTTCGCCAACTGACCCACGGCACACGCCAATTTGTCAGAGGAAAATTCGAGTCGCCAGAAAAACCGAATTCGTCACGTCCTTGATCTTCAGGTATTTCGGATTCGCAACTGCTGAAATCCCCGGTCTGGAAAAAATGACATTCGTCGTTTTGTCGTCTTAAAGTTGAAAATGAGCCAGTTTTGTGTGGAGTACCTTCATACACAAAGTAAGGCCTTTCCACTCGTGATTGATTTAGCTATCTTAGGCGTGACGGAGCTCTTAGGATTCAAAAAAATGGCAAACGTCACACACAGACCATTCATAAGTGCAATAAATGATAAGGTTTTATTTGCCTACATGACCATGAAATTTACTCGTTTGGAGACCCGCACAAGATAAATGATCAGAAAAATTTTATTGACGAAGGTATTTTCTCAATTTTGAGTCCAGTATTGTGCACTACATTTGAAAACGTCTTTTTAGCTTACACTTCTACTATGTCAAGGTTGTTAACCGGTGAAGTAGGTGATAAACGTCAAAGGTTGGCAGCAACAATCCCTTTTCACCCGCCCCCACCTTCTTCCGCCGGAGGATTCTGAGAGTCTCCATAATACCCAGTGGCCATATTCTGCCTGTAGAAGTACTCTACTCTTATGTGAGTCTAGTTTTGTGTGAAAAACACTTTACACTCTTCTCACGCTCCTCAGAGACATTGTATTTTAGAGACCTGACTCATCGGCACGACATTTTGCCCAGAGAAAGACGGCCCATCCCGTTGAGCGGGGCTAAAAATCCAGTGTGCCTTCAATTTCATGTGTATGCAACAAGGACATCCATCAAGCACGAATAGTTGTATCCAGAGGTTACTCGCAAAGACAAGTCGTGTTCAGAGACAATAGGGAAGTACATACATATATTATAATTGGTCATGGAATATGCTCAGCAGGACTATTTTACATGGCAAACATTATATATAAAAACTCCAAGTCTCGTAGAATCATTGTTAACAAAGGTATATTTTCAATAACTCCTACAGCAATAATGATGTGGTCTTTTATGTGTATGGGAAATTCTCCTGTATAATTCATCGCTTACTGAGCGGCTGAGTGGCCGTGCTCTCTCTATACAGGTATACTCCAGTCCCGAGGGGACCCTTAGATCGTTCCGTTTTTTGTCAATATCAGAATGATAAACGTTAGAAAGATTTTCGATTGGAAGAATTAAACCTCTTCATTTAATTTTTTCTCTAGATTTTTATTATAATTTTGGAAAGTAAATATGGAACGTCCTTAAGACTGGCGGAGGGTCGGATAGAAGATGAACACTCCGTTTAATAATTAAGGGGGGAGGGAGGATGGTCGCTAAATTGACAGTCTACGTGAGAGCGACATTGAACTCTTACGAAGGCTCTGAGCTTACTTATGTTATTTAGGGTAGGTTTTTTGTGAAATATACCATGATTCTTTTTAATATACTGTAGGCGCGGTAGATGAGGGTAATACAATGGAGAATTTGCATGTAAATTTTTTATTGCTTCATCTGAAAATGCTTAAAGAGCTGATTTCATAGTATTTTTTGAAGTTTTTTCTGATATGGGAAATAGTATAAAAATATATTTAAAAGTCAGAAAATGCACCGCCTAGTGACGTCATCTGGCGGCATTTCCCATTTAAACACACGTATTACAGCATGCAGATTAGATTATTTTGTCATATCTTCTCCAATAATTGTTCAATTAATGAACCAAGGGTATCTTCCTGTTCAGTTTACTCAGTAGTTTCCACTTAAACACGAAATTTATCAAATTTCAGACTCCTGCAAAGTATCTATTGCCTGAAAAATCACAAAATGTCTTGTAAAAACAATAATCTTTTGAAGAAAATTCAAAGAAAATGATATCATTTTTCACAGGGTTTTCGGTGGAATTTGAATTACTCAGTGATTTCTGGAGTATGCTCGCTCTGGACAGGTACTGTTATGCGCTGGTTACACGCTCAAATTTCCATCAATTTCCGATCAAATGGTGGCTAATGCGCACCATCTACCATCAAATTTCAAAAATTTGATGGTAGATGATGGAGCTGTGGGGCTCATCCTTCATCTGATTTCCACACAACCGTGCTTATTTCGTGCTCATTTCAATCAACACGCTGTTTTAATTAATTTCACTCATCAATCTAGATAACTATCGACCGCCATCTTGGTCATCATTTTGATCGGAATTTGACGGGAATTTGATCGTGTGGTTACACGATCAAATTCACGATCACGATTCACGATCACGAGGCCATAAGGGAGAATACTCCAGAGACTCGTGGCAACGAAGCGAGGGAATCGCAAGGAGCTGATCCTTGTGCGAGATGATTTTTTCGCAGCGTAATTGGTTTTATCGCAAGAGCGGAGCGGCGGACAATCGGGAGTGCGTTTTCTCATTGAGTGAATAACCCCATTCAAGCGCCAAGTGTCGTTTGCCTCAATTAATTACCGAGGACACCTCCACCTCAATCCCCGTTGAAAATTGTGAAAACCCGCGCCGCGCCGCGCGCCGACCTGTCTCGCACACAGCCCTCGCCCTCGCGCACCCGAACCCATGGATCAGGGCCGCCACTCGCCGTCCCGTCTTCAAAACATCCACCTTCGATCCTTGACAAGAACCGAGGAAAACAGAGACGAAATATTCTGAACTATACTCTGTTCCAATTCGGAGTGATGCATCCCTGGAAAATGACGCATGGGTTCGCATTAACCTCGGAAGTGGCAGCGGCGGCGCACAGAGGATCGGGTCAAAACGAGAGGTCGGACAAAATTTGGAGACTTGAAACGCTTATAACTCTGTTTAACACAAACTTTGAGATTCTAAAAGTGGTTCCATTGGTTTCCTCGTGAAATTTTCTACTTTCAGTACCACTAGAAATTTACAATGTGACAACATAATCATCAAAATTTGCAATTTCAGTAAAAAATTCCGACCTCTCTCTGATTGACTCGATCCACTGTGCGGCGGCGCAGCGAGGCAATGAACATATGAATTGTCAAAGTGCAAAACCACGTACTTCGCCAGCGATGCTGCAGACTTACTCTCACACTTTATCTTTTCTTTAGAAAGCTAGCCAACGTAATTTCTTGAAAAAAGCCTCGGTTTTTCATTTCTATTATTAGAATATTCTACATAAAGTTCAAGCTATAAAGTTGGCTAGTTTCTCCTGGAAGTAATAAAATAAGAGTGGAGTTTTTTACGAAGCGCAATTGAGGTACGTTATTTCGCTCTGTGTCCATCGATATATTCAGATAGAGCCCAATACCGGCGAATCTTTCGTTCGTCAAGAAGTCTGCAAGCACTTGCACCGCTGAACTGAATTTAAACTTGTCGTATAGGGGCGAAGAAAATTGTTCATTTCACCTCGGCATTCGACTCACAATTAGAGTGAAAGTTCAATACGAAGATTAACTTGCCAAAAAAATCGCCTGGAAACAGTGATTCTCGATTTTGACATTTTTCACGTTCATTTATTCGTGTGAAGCACCTTAACAGGGTAGCATAATACTGCCGCATCATCAGGGAAAACATCAGAAACACTTCCGGACTTCCGAAGGTTTAATTAAAAATTCTGAAAACGATTAATAAATCCCAGATTTTGTGAAATTCATTCGAGTCTTTTGAAATTTCACTTTTCATCTCTAAGGATAGTGTTGAATCGTCATGAAAGCGGTTAAATGTCTTACTGATCTCGACTGACATCAATATTGAGATCGATATAAAATGTAACTGATTCAATGAAATTTTGACAATGTTCATCAGCTCATTCTTATCAGAAAACTCGTAATTTTTGGTTATTTTACGTCGATTCTAAACCTTTAAACAACGAAGCGCCAGCCAGGCGCCTCGGCGCCGGCGCGGCAGAGGGCCGGTCGCGTTTCGCGGATTCGTTGGGCCCCGTTCAATTTTCGAGTCTAGGTCAGCTTTGGAAAAGGAAAAAGACCATTAATGAAATAACGATGACCACTTGCGAGCAATAAAGGTCGTTGGGTCGACGGAATCTTCGGCGCAAGGACGCGTACGCAAACAATAATACACCGCGGTCCACGTTGACAACGTCGAGCGGGCACACGTACCACGGCGACGACGCGACGCGGTATTGTTATCCGTTCGTCGACGTCAGAGAACGTATAATTTTCCCAATTTAATGAGACGCGAAATGAGCACCGCTGCGATGCGATGCTCCGAAATTGCGCAGGACCGAGATGAACGGAGTTGAGCGGGAAATGTTGATCTATTTCCCGCGTGAACCCCACAATGAGAAAAATGTTTGAATCAGTGAGAACGAAAACACACCAACAAAAAAATGAAAAGAATCAATACACACACGAAACCGAACAGTGAATGAAGAAATTAGTCTAAGAAAGAGATTTTTGGTGCCAAAATACAAGCACTCATGGGCATTTTAAAGGTCCAAGTTGGAACAAGTGCGCTAACTTCAACGACTTTTATACAAATTGACTGTCTCTTATGAAAATTGAGCAATTTCGAGTTACCGAGTTGGTGTGTTTTCGAGCTCACCAGTGGCGTGGCGTGCTTTGCGATATATCGATAGATATGCCACTCAAACCTATGAAAAAAGATCGATTATCAGGGTGTTCGCAGCGAACACCTCAGTAATCGATTCTTTACCATAGTTTCAAATGGCGAGATATCGATAATCGATCATTCACGCCACTCCA